CCGTTATTCCTCGTGGAATGAGGTTTACCGGGGCTGCCGACAAAGGGCTTTGATGTCGACAGGGGGAACGTCCAGACGAGCGCACGAGCCGACAAACAGCTGATCAGCTGTTTGTCAGCTGAGCGCGGCAGCCATGTAAATATAAATGAAGCCGCGATCATTTAAATCGCGGCTTCATTTGCCTTTGCTGAACAAACAAATCTACATGCCTCTGCCGACAGAGGCATGTAATTTAGACGTACCCTTACAGTCCACTCTTTTAGCTTCATGTAGCATAGATGCTTTAATTGACATTTTTTTCTCCTCCCCCCCTTCCTCTTTTTCTGCTTTATATTTATTCCTCTGTGCGTCTTGCTCCATATTTGTCATCTGAAAAAGTGGGTTGTGCCCACGAAAGCTCATGACACTATATATATTTTTGCTAGTCTCTAAGATGCTATAGGACCACTTTCATCTTTTGTTTTTTGTGTCAATGAAGACATTCAGTTACAGTATTGGGCTTTGGATCAGGTTTTGTGTTTAAGGCTGCTACTGAATCAGGTATTTAAAAGGTGTATATATAGATTTCCATTCTTAAAGTGACCCAATTTTACTGAGACACTCCCCTTGTTTTCATCTGAGATAATCCAATGTTTAATTCGATCATCCATATGTTTGGTTTTATTATAAATTCAAAATATTTGTTCAAGACCTATTGCTGTATGAGGTTTTTTGAATGAAGAAAATGTCAAATGAGTATGGACATTAACAAAGCTTTTCTTTTTCTTGCTATTTCAAAGTAAGGGCCATTCAAAGTAATTTCTTCCCAGTGCTATCGAGATAGTGCGGCCACTTTAGGGAAGCCTGCCTCCGACTAATTTTGAGGCTTCCCTGTAGTGTGGATGCTCTATTTTGTAATAAGCTATTTCGGAATATATCTTCTGGAATAGCTTATTCCTAAATAAGCGTGCAGTGTAGACGTACACTTAGAGTGAATGTTAACCACACTTGCATGGTCTTTCATGATAAACACATTCATATACTTAAACTATTGGAAAAAGTCCTGAGCGCTGTGAAATGTGTACATGTTACTTTAGGATCAGATGCTAGTGCAGCAGTCCCTACATATTTATTTTTTAAGTTGACTTTTGTAAGAGTAACATCACCTTAAAAATGATTGCCATAAAAGTGTCATCTTGTCACTGGCATGCATTCAATAAATATGAAAGACAGATGCCTCTGTACTCACAGATATCCATATTTTTAGAATCAGTTCAGGTCACGTCTAAAAGAATCTATTGCGTTTAATTTTCAATGTAAAAAAAATCATTCCTCATTCTGTTGCAATGAACCCATATGCTTACCTGTCTTCTTCCCAAAACCCCACAAGGACCACAGGGAGATCGCACTACACACCTTAGATGTCCACAGGGCCGTTGCCTTTTACTTCAATGCACGAAACTCTTCTGCAGAACTCCATGGCTCTTCATCTCAGCTATAGAGAGACCACGAGGGTTACCCATTTCAAAACAAAGATTCTCTAAATGGATTTCAGGCTGTATACACCTAGGCTATACGATATTTCAGAAGGACCCTCCCCATCCAACATATGGGCTCACTCCACATGAGTGATGACAGCATCAGTGGCATTTCCTCAGGGTGTACCAACAGAGGAAATCTACTAGGCTGCCACATGGGCCTTGGCACACACTTTCATGCAGCATTATGCCATTTAGACCTTTGCAGACTCTGATACACATATTGGCCGAACAATACTCTTGGTCACTAAGAACATAGGAACAGCCATACTGGGTCAGACCAAAGGTCCATCTAGCCCAGTATCTGTCTACTGACAGTGGCCAATGCCAGATGCCCCAGAGGGAGTGAACACAACAGGGAATCCTCACGTGATCCAGCACCTGTCATTCATTTCCAGACAGAGGCGAGGGACACCATTCCTACCCATCTTGGCTAATAGCCATTGATGGACCTAATGTCCATGAACTTATCTAGCTCTTTTTTGAACCCTGTTAAAGTCCTAGTTTTCACAATCTCTTCTGGCAATATCCTCTGACTAACATCCTCCAAAGTGCATACCACTGAAAACAACCACTGCCTCGTAATCACCTAAACACTCACAGGGACACTCCTCGAAGAAGAAGGGAAGGTTACTCACCTAGTGCAGTGACCGCAGTTCTTCGAGATGGTTGTATCAGTAGGTGCTCTATGACCCACCCTTCCTCTCCTCTGCTTTGGACTCATCTACATCCGAGTCAGAGAAGGAACTGTAGAGACAGTTGGCTGCGTATGCGAGAGAGCCATTTCAAATGTTGCACGCTAGTTTTGCATGTGGAACACCAACCACGGGGACCGCTACTTAAAGTCGCTGATTAGAGGCACAGCAGCACTCAACCACCTAAGGTGAAGCACCCATAGGGACAAACATCTCAAAGAACTCCAGTTATTGCATCAGGTGACTAACCTTCCCTTCCTTCATGGAGCACCAATAACTTGATCCCTAATCCTGCAAAACATGCATGTGCGGCAGACTCATTGACTTAAGTACATCTAAAGTTAAATACATGCTTAAAGCCCCAAGTCAGCAAAGCACATACACACACTTAACTCTGAGCATGTGCTTTCTAAAGAGAAAGGAGCGAGGCTGTTTTCTGTAGTTGCAGAAATGATCTCAAAAAGTAGCAGTGGGGGAGGTCTAGGTTGGATATTAGGAAAAATTAATTCACTAAGAGGGTGAGGAAGCACTGGAATGGGTTACCTAGGGGGGCAGAGAAATCTTTAGCCCTAGAGATTTTTAAGCCCTGGCTTGACAAATGGTCCAGCGGGGGATAGACTTGATGACCTCTTCAGGTTTCTTGCAACCCTATGATTCTATGTGCTTAAGTCTATTCAACAAAGCATTTAAACCAATAGAATTTAAACACTTGCTTGCAGTTAAGCATGTGCTTAAGTGCTTTACTGAATCAGATTCTTATATTGGACCTTGGATGGATGCAGGGGCTATCTATGTACAGTCACCTATAGGAGTCTGGGGGGTTATATTTTAAGTTTTTGATTGCTCTTAGGAGAATGGTTTAAACTGAAACATAGAGTAGTTAGTCCTTGCAGCATGAGAGCAAACTCAGACTTATACAAACCAGAGTGGAAAACTCTCACCCCCAAATGTACAAATGTAGTTATAGTCAGCAAGAGTATCCCAGTCTATCTCATCTGTCAAGGTGGAATATATTAACATGTTAATGTTCAGACAGCTTGTTAGATAACCTCTTAATGCTATAGAATGCCTTTCTTGCAACTAGATGATGACAGAATCATTCAAAAATATTTAACATCCTTACATCTAGATCAGATAAACATAGTTGATTGCGCAATTAAAGACTGTAGTATAGTCCATAAGCCACAGTGTCAAATTAAGATGGCAGGGACAACTATGAATTTGGCATTTCCCAAATTATGAGCACAGTGATTCACTTTGTTCTTGTAGTGCAGTGGATTTATTTATGTTAATTAAAGACCATTAAAAGAAGACAGTGATTAATTGTTTTCCATGTTCATCAAAGAGAGGGCAAGTAATAATGGGTTTAAACTATCGCAAGAAAGATTTAGGTTTGATGCTAAGAAAAATGTTCTAATCATAAGGATAGTTAAGGACTGAAAAAGGCTTCCAGGAAAGGTTGTGGAATTCACATCACTGTAGTTTTTATGAACAGGTTAGAGAAATACCTGTCAGAAATCGTATAGAGTTACATGGTCGTGTATGAGCACAAGTGTCCATTCCAAGGTCTACATTTCTATGATTTGACTTTCTGTTAGTTTGTCTTGAATTTTTTTGTATCTTATGGTCAGGTTTTGTTCAATAGGAAAATATTCTGAGTTCTCTCACATAAAACAAGGAAATACCAGTACAGTAATTCCTCATTTAACACTATAGATATGTTTCAGAAAATGATCGTATTAAGTGAAAACGTGTTATGTGGGGTCAATTTTCCCATTGAAAATAATGGAAAGGGTGGGGGTTGCGTTTCAAGCAGTGGTATCTGTTGGGACCAGGACATAAGGTTGTGGGAGAAAGGGGACTGGGTTACAGCAGGGAGGGGAGGTGTTTGGCTCTGGAGAAGGGAAGGGGAGAAGAGGGGAGGGGATTGGGTTGGGAGTATGCCCCTGTGATGGGTCTGCCGGGACCCGCACTGTGAGAGGGACTCGGGGGGGAACGGCGTGGCAAGCAGCAAACCCTCCGCCGCTTTGCAGGTAAGCGGGGAAAGCCCCGCACAGCCGCTGGCCTGAAAGCGGGGGCATAGGAGAGGGGCCAGGGCATCCAGCAAGGGAGAGTCAGCGGGGAACGGCGCATTGAGCGGTGAACCCTCTGCCGCTTTGCAGGGAGGCGGGGGAAGCCCCATGCAGCCGCCGGCAATGGGCCGGCTGGGGGAATGGGACGCATCCAGCAAGGGAGAGTCAGCGGGGAACGGCGCATTGAGCGGTGAACCCTCTGCCGCTTTGCAGGGAGGCGGGGGAAGCCCCATGCAGCCGCCGGCAATGGGCCGGCTGGGGAAATGGGACGGTCATGTAATTTAAAAAACGTTCCCTAAAAAAAAAAAGCGTGCTATCGCGAAAACATGTTAAGCGGGCATGTGTTAAATGAGGAATTACTGTATTAATAGAGAATAACTATAAATGTTTGCTTTTGCAGACTCTCGGGTATTAATGCTATTTCAGTGCTTATGAAAAAAACGATTTCCAACTTGTGCTAGTTTTTATCCTGTGTTTCAGTGACAACTGTAGAAAAATTTACTATTTATTGATGTGAAATCATATAAAATATTAAATTATTTCAACCATTAATGTCCCTTGCTAGATGTGTATGTCATCTAGGGAGATCCCAGCTCCAGGCAAGAAAGGGTTATGTTTTGATTTGAAACCCTTGATTTCATCCAGTTTACTATAATCCAAGGAGAACGTGGTCACGCATGAGTCTCATCTGCTTGCTGACAGAAAGCAGATTCTAAAAACAGCAACTAAATTATGGTATTTCAGTGATTCAAAGGTATTGGCCTGCAAAGAGCATTTCTTTTCTCCCTTCCCCCCAATTTTTTTCACACATCACTGTCTTCATAATGGTATTAATGTTGCAGCAGCTGATTCAAACCATACCCAGATGAGAGTGTGATTCTTAAATCACTTTGAGCAACTCAATGTGACAAGTGTAACCAATCATCATTATTATGCACAAAATCTATTAAAAACAATGTAGATGTGTTGTTGTGATGCCAAGCATTTAAAAGTTAGGAAATGCGAGATTTATGGCTGTCTATGCAACTCTGGTGCTTCCCTGCTGTGTGTTGTAGAGTATAGGGGTTCTATGGGACAAAAGCAAGTGATCACGTAATTTAAAGACTAGCATAATACATATGCAAATGGAGGCCAAATTAAGATGTCATGAGGCAACTGTAAATTTGGCATTTCCTAACTTTACAGGTGCATTGTTTTGCAACCTGAATAATGTTCTTGCAGCATAGTTGTTTTGTATCTAATTTCCTAGGTTTTTAAAAGAAGAAAAAGATGAACTCAGATTTAGCAAGTATAACTGGAAAAGCCCATTATTGATCACTGTACCTTGAAGTGTCAGCATAGATTTCAGCGCTTACTAACTGCATTAGTTGACAGCAGGAAAAAGCATGAGGAGTAACGGTAGTTCGGAATAGGAAGCCTAGTCCGAACTACCTAGTTCGTGCCGCGTGTAGCCGCGCAGCACGGAGTCTGAACTAGCGGACATTTAAAAATGGCGGCGCCCGGCAAGATGCAAATGAAGCCCGGGAAATTCAAATCCCAGGCTTCATTTGCAACTCCGGTTGACTACATTACCACCCTAGTTCGAACTAGGGTAGTAGTGTAGACATACCCTAAGATGCGGAAAAATGGCACATCCAACATGACTTCTTATATTGTACTCATTAGTACAGAAGAAGAGACTAATAAACAGGTAGACTATTTTTTGTCAAGTTGATATATGGATCACTCTATACAACAACACCAGATAGGAGGAGAATAGAACCACTTCACAGGAAAAGAGTGAGAGAAAAGAAAATGTAGAACTAGATTTAAGGGAGAAGAGCAGCCTAAGCCCCACAAAGCTGGGAAGCCCTGAGGCTATGTCTAGACTACAGGCTTCTTTAAGAAGAAACTTTTCCGGAAAAGATTTTCTGGAAAAACTTCTTCCAAAAGAGAGCATCCAGACTGCCAAAGCGCATCAAAAAAGTGATCTGCTTTTTCAAAAGATAGCATCCATTCATTGTGGATACTAACTCGCATTTACGCTGTGATTACTATGGATGGCATGGACACTGAGGCACCTATGCTTTTTCCTCTTTCCTCTTTCCTCTTCTTTCCAAAGAACTTCCTCTTCCCCATCCACACACGCCTTTTTCCAAAAGAGCCCTTTCAGAAAAAAAGGCTTCTTCCCCGTAGAACGAGGATTACCAATGTCGGAAAAACCCCTTTGTTCTTTCAATTTTCTTTTGAAAGAACATGATTGCAGTGTGGACGTAACTCAAGTCTTGTCAGAAAAACAGCTGTTTTTCCGAAAAAAACCTCTGTAGTGTAGACATACCCTGAGATCCTGGAAGGAAGTTATTAGGACTTGAGAACCAGAAGCTTTAGGGAAGGAGGAAGACAGGGACAGGGACCTAACATAGTGAATGCTAGTGGTAACGGAGTACGTTTAGAAGATAAAATAAAAAAAGAACAAGTAAAAAATCACTTAGAAAAGTTAGATGCCTGCAAGTCACCAGGACCTGATGAAATGCATGCTAGAATACTCAAGGAGCTGATAGAGGAGGTATCTGAGTCTCTAGCTATCATCTTTGGAAAATTATGGGAGACAGGAGAGATTACAGAAGACTGGAAAAGGGCAAATATAGTGCCCATCTATAAAAAGGGAGATAAGAACAACCCAGGAAACTACACACCAGTCAGTTTAACCTCTGTGCCAGGAAAGATAATGGAGCAAGTAATTAAGGAAATCATCTGCAAACACTTAGAAGGTGGTAGGGAACAGCCAGCATAGATTTGTAAAGAACAAATCATGTCAAACCAATCTGATAGCTTTCTTTGATAGGATAATGAGTCTTGTGGATAAGGGAGAAGTGATGGACATGGTATATCTAGACTTTAGTAAGGCATTCGATACAATCTCGCATGATATTCTTATCAATAAACTAGGCAAATACAACGTAGATGGGGCTTCTATAAGGTGGGTGCATAACTGTCTGGATAACCATACTCAGAGAGTAGTTATTAATGGTTCACAATCCTCCTGGAAAGGTATAACAAGTGGGGTTCCACAGGGGTCTGTTTTGGGACTGGCTCTGTTCAATATCTTCAACAATGATTTAGATATTGGCATTGAAAGAACGCTTATTAAGTTTGCAGATGATACCAAGTTGGGAGGGGTTGCAACTGCTTTGGAGGATAGGGTCATAATTCAAAATGATCTGGACAAATTGGACAAATGGTCTTAGGTAAACAGGATGAAGTTTAATAAAGACAAATGCAAAGTGCTCCACTTAGGAAGGAACAATCAGTTTCACACATACAGAATGGGAAGCGACTGTCTAGAAAGGAGTATGGCAGAAAGGTATTTAGGGGTTCTAGTGAACCACAAGCTAAATATGAGTCAACAGTGTGATGCTGTTGCAAAAAAAGCAAACATGATTCTGGGATACATTAACAGGAGTGTTGTGAGCAAGATACGAGAAGTCATTCTTCCGCTTTACTCTGCGCTGGTTAGGCCTCAGTTGGAGTTGTGTGTCCAGTTCTGGGCTCCGCATTTCAAGAAAGTAGTGGAGAAATTGGAGAGGGACCAGAGAAGAGCAACAAGAATGATTAAAGGTCTAGAGAACATGACCTATGAAGGAAGGCTGAAAGAATTGGGTTTGTTTAGTTTGGAAAAGAGAAGATTGAGGGGGGAACATGATAGCAATGTTCAGGTATCTAAAAGGGTGTCATAAGGAGGAGGGAGAAAACTTGTTCTCCTTGGCCTCTGAGGATAGAACAAGCAGCAATGGGCTTAAACTGCAGCAAGGGAGGTTTAAGTTGGACGTTAGGAAAAAAGTTCCTACCTGTCAGGGTGGTTAAACACTGGAATAAATTGCCCAGGGAGGTTGCATAATCTCCATCACTAGAGATATTTAAGAGCAGGTTTGATAGACATCTGTCAGGGATGATCTAGATGATGTTTAGTCCTGTTGTGAGGGCAGGGGACTGGACTTGATCTCTCAAGGTCCTTTCCAGTTCTAGTGTTCTATGATTCTTCTACAAAGGAATTTCAAAAACCAGCTACAGATAGAAACTGCAGAACTGTCCTTCATGTGCAGATTTGACACTGTCATGGCCTGAACAGTGACATGAACTAGATGTGCCATTATATTCAACAACCAATTGACAGCAAAAGCTAAGACAAGGGAAGAAAATTAGGCAAGTGGGCCTACAAGTTGTACATGATGTGAAGATCTGTGGACTGAGATCAAATTATGGGGGCATTCCTTGCCCTTAAAATGTGATTTCTGAGAGTCAAGGATGGAAGGATCCAGAAAGAGGATCCTACAAGATTACCCTGGAATAAACAGGAATTTAGAGAATCAGTTGTCTCCTATAACACCTGGTGGGTGTGAAGAAATAAAATGTTCTTGTGTAGGTGGAGGAATATGACAGAGTACTGAGGCCCAACAGTTGGGATTGTCACTTTCTTGGTGTGTCATTCATAATCCTAGAATATCTGTTGTCAGCATGCAATGACGGAAACAGCTACTAGCATGGTTGAGAGTGGGCAGAATATCACTAACTTGAATCATTACTGAGCCCTGGAAGAACTCAATGAAATGATGAAGTCTGAAGGTTCTGTGGCAGTTGAAATATGACAGTTGATCAGAGAAGGTGGGAAGCTACATGTGGTAATAGAAATCGTGGTGCCTCCAGCCAGGGGGCAGCACTATACACATACCATGGGGAACATGTACAAACAGCATCATTGTTCATGACAACACAGTCAGCTCTCAGTTTTGGGCTTTTTCCGCACACATGACTTTACCAATTAAACCCAGGCAATAGCATGCGCTTTCAGTTACTAGTTCAAAAATAAAGTGTAAACAAATCTAAGATTCATTTTCTGAGAGAGCAGGCTAGTAATGAGTACCAGCTAATGCTTACAGTGCAATAATGCAATAATCAATGCATGCAGGATTTCTCAATAAAATTGCTCAGAAAACTGATTGGGAAAATGAGGGGTTTTTTGTTTTGTTTTGGGGTTTTTTTTGTTTGTTTTTGTTTTTGTGGGGTTTTTGTTTTAACTGATCCCTCTCTTTCTGAAAGTGCTGCCAGTAGTCTGTGTTCATTTGTTTTTCTAACTGAGTTTTTATACTTAAATACCCAATAAAGCTTGAGTATCATAAACAAGAGACATATGCAATATATTTGACATAATTTTTATGTACTTTCAGCTATGTTGTTTGGGAATAAGAAATTAAAACAAGATGGTTTCCAATGGAACTATTGTATTCAAAACCCAATAGAAGAGATCCTTAGTGTAAATTGACCCTGAAATCAATGGAGCAACACCAGTTTACATAGATCGAGCGTCCCTAGTGTAAGTCTATTGCCTTCAGTAGAATGCAGCAGGGATGTATTTGACACCCCCTCCCCCCATGACAGTGTTTCAAATAGTAAGATATATAATACTAAAAGTGTTCAAATCTTTGCTCTCAAGACTGCATTTATTATAAGTGAACCCATTCTCTTGTTTTAAAATATGCCTTTTTTATTAATTAGTTTACTTCACAACCATTCAAGGATCCCAGTGCACATTATAAATATGATTTAACAGAGCTTTGCCACTTCCCTATGCAAGGCAGGTCTATATTTGAAACCCATTTTATAAATGGTAAACTACAGGCAGAGAAAATATGAGATGGTCAAAGTTACACAGTGTCAGTCCAGTTCTTTATTACAAAGTTTTGTTGACATAGCTATGCTACAACTGTGAAAAAACAACAGCCCCATGCAGCAAAGCTATGTTAGGAAAACCCCTTCTGTCAGGATAGCTAACATGATTTAGAAAGGTGGTACTTCAACATTGGCAGAAAGTTTTCTGCTGCTGGCATGCACCAAGTCTATAGGAAACTCTGCAGGCGCAACAGTACTGGAATAGCTATACCAGCAAAACATTTATAACGTAGACAAGGCTTCTGAGTGGAATGCCTAGGAATAGAAACCATGGGCCTTATTTTGTCAATGGAGTTTCTCCAGGTTTACATCAGAAGTAACTGACAACAGGATTAGTCCCTGAGGGTACATCTACACTGCATCCCTAGTTCGGACTAGGGATGCAAATGGAGACGACCGAAGTAGTTAATGAAGCGGGGATTTAAATATCCTGCACTTCATTAACATGATCTTGCCGGCGCGCTACTTCGAATCACAGCTGATTCGAACGAGGAAGTACACGCCGGGACACGTTAGTTCGGACTAAAGCCCTAAGTCCGAACTAACATAACACCTCCTTTTTTGGGGAGTCCGAACTAGGGATGCAGTGTAGACGTACCCTGAGAGTCTTGACTACCTGTTCTAATGACTAGAAGAAATTGCTTGTGTTAATTACATGCAGTGGATCAGAAGATATATAGTATTACTTTGTACAAATAGCCCTATCTTAAAACTGCCAGCAATTCAGATATATGTGCATTTTTTCTCAATGACTTTACTCCATCTAATAGAATGCTAAAACTGAATATTTTCATCTTTTTATTCCCAGATCAATGCAGTTCGATCTATTGTTCCTAACAAAAGCAATAATGAAATAGTTCTGGTGTTACAGCAGTTTGATAACAATGTAGACAAAGCAGTTCAAGCTTTTATGGATGGTGAGTATATTGTACGTGTCTCACTAGATCATGAGGAATTAACACTAAATATGTTTTAGCCACCGAAAATGTGGACCATAATTTTGTTGAAATGTCAAGAACCACGACTGTTTGTCTGTACATTTTTTGTTAATTCTTAGTCATTTTCCTTTCCACTCCAGCAGTGATGTCAGCCTGAGTGGCCTAATTATTTATTTTCCCCTGTCTTTGCACTTTCTGCCAGATCATTCTTTATGGCTACGTCTACATTGGCATCCCTTTCCGGAAAAGGGATGCTAATGAGACACTTTGGAATTGCAAATCCGCGGGGGATTTAAATATAGTCCTTGAAAGTAGGAATAAGAAATCCTCCGGAAAAGGGCTTATTTTCCGGAGAATCGCGTCTAGACTGGCGCTTTTCTCCGGCTTATCCCCAAGCCGGAAAAAAGCGGCAGCCATGTAAATGCAAATGCCGCGGGGGATATTTAAATCCCCCGCAGATTTGCAATTCCGAAGTGTCTCATTAGCATCCCTTTTCCGGAAAGGGATGCCAATGTAGACCCAGCCTATGTGTGGGGCTTCCTCCTCAAACTGTTTTGTAAATTCACTTCCCTCCCTCTTTTAAATCCCTCTTCAAAATCCACTTCCACTTTGATGCTTACAGGAAATTGACACCCAATAGCAGCTAGGATGAAGGCCAGTGGGGATTGTTGGTAATTGTTTCCTTATTAGGGTTGCCAGATGGCTTAACCAAAAATACCGAACACCTCCTCCCCCCACCCAAAAAA